CGCCGTGGACGCGGGGCATGGCTTGGTTACACTACTTTCCCTGTCTGTGTCAATTAAGGACCGGTCGTTGCATAAGGCTCTAGGCAAGTCACAGACTTATTATCCTGAGCACATACTTGGGTATGGGTGCTTGGAAGAGTTGTTGCTCTCTTGTCGTGGATCCGGCTCTTTCCGGACCGACTGTCAGGGTTTATTTTTTTGGTGGAGGAGGTCCTTGCACCGCTCTGAGTCCGGGACTCAGGGGCAGGGGCTTGGAGTTCCAGTTTGGACGGAGACCTGGACACCTGGAACAGGAGAGTGATGGGTTGGTCCTGCTTGTGCCTAGGGTACAAGTGGGGCGTGTGTTTTTGGGGTACCCAGCTGGGGGCATTGATTCGTGAATCACCGGGAAATCCGGTACGGCTCGTCTGCGGCCTAGCACCGTAGTAAGAACTGAAGATGAAAGATGGAAAAAGGAAATCTGATTGCTTACCACCTGCTTGAAAGTAGCACATGTGCTTACATAGAATGCTTAGTTAATGAACCAATGCGGCTATTAATAAAAATCGAATATAAGGACACATATTAGTAATGCTTCCTGCTGATGCTATTAACCCACAAGCCAGATAGCCTTTCATATCCTTGGAGTCTTTTCTTTTCTCCTGTCGGGTAAGTGTTGTTGAGTACAATTGAGTACTCAGGGTTTTATTCCCCATGTTACAGGTGACAGGTGGATGCTAAAGCTGACCTTGTGTGTGGATTCCTCCTGGTGGGCTTAGAGAGGATTTCCTTTATGCTGCGATCGTAGTTTTTATTTACAACTCTCACCAAATGTTTTTTATAAATTGTCGACGAAATATGGTCGGCAGTCCACCGAGGGGGTGCCCGTGGTGGTAGATTATCGGTAGGATGCGCGTAATCAGGAACCAGATGGTGACACAAGGCGCAGAGACAACGATTTAGACAGGTTCGGGCCGTCTGATCGACGTAATACCCTACGTCCTGTGTCTTTGGTGTATTGTATTGATGTGTATAGATTAACCTGTCCTCTGGGGGACCCCTGCCTCTCCTTATATACTCTAGAGGAGGAGGGTTACAAGTAAAGTATCCTATTTGGTACTATTTACAATATCTAGTACAACTTGTAATCTTGCCATGTACGCCTTGATCTCACGGGCCGGGCCACCTCGGATGGTGCGGCCCATGTACCATCTTGTGTTACCCGGGGGTATATCCCCCACAGCTAGTCCCCGAGCGCCATATATTCTGATGCGACACGCCATTTTAATCTTCTCCGAACAGTGAGGCTTGAGTTCTTGACATCTCCGACCACCATTGTCGCCGGAGAAATAGGTTGTCCGAAGAATGTATGGTGCTCTTAAAAAAAAGAAAAAGATTTCCGTCCTGGGAAGTGTGCCCACTTGTATTTCTGAAAAGAAATGTAAGTGAGTCTTGAAGCGTAGCGTCTTTGATCATCAGATCGAGCACATTCACCGCAAGGTGAAGTGTGCCCACTTAGTCCCCGAGCTTGGTAGTAGGTGACGTAGTCACGTGGTGCCAGGGTCTAAAAAGAATTCCCAGTTAAATTGAGAATCCAATCGTCGTACATGCGATACGAGATGCATCGGCAGGTGCATCGTACCGATGTAGTCCCCGAGCTTGCTGGAAGGCGAGGTATGAGCCTTGTAGCAAGGTCTAAGTGAGAAAAAATATCCCAACTGTATGCGAGTCGCCAGTCGCATGTAGTCGAGACGCAAAGTCCCCGAGCCGTGGTCGGAGAGTGGTCGAGGCAGTCCCCGTGCGTAGGTCGAGAAACGAGCGACGAAATCCCAAAGCTGTGGTCGGAGAGTGATCGAGGCAGTCCCCGAGCACAGGTCGAGGAGCGAGCGATGAAGTCCCCGAGCCGCGGTCGGAGAGTGATCGAGGCAGTCCCCGAGCACGGAGTGGTCTGGCCAGAAGTCCCAGAGCACGGAGTGGTCTGGCGAGTCCCCGAGGGTCCTAGAGCACGGAGTGGTCTGGCGAGTCCCCGAGCACAAGGGTGGTCTGACCAGAGTCCTCGAGCACCGTAGTGGTCTTGGTGAGCCCCGAAGCATGAGCTCGTTGACCGAACTATGTTCCTGAAAAATAAACACGGAGAGCGGTAGTACATGATGATGTACGCAATATATTGATCTCTCTGTAGGAGGTGAAGTAAACACTTGGTGTTCGGTTGGCGATGAATTATACTTGGTGTAATATTCGAAAAATAACATTAGCCGTTTTTAGCCCTTTTGTTATATAGTGGCGTAGCGCGATGTATTAACCTGTCCTGAAGAATGCGCCAGCCCTGGGCTGACCAACATCTCGTAGCGCGAGGTACGGAACGCTGCCGCGTGTAGAGTGCCAGTGTTACCAGGGAGCGACCGCCGACTACCCGTGGCGCGCAGGGGCGGACTCTCATGCACGCGTGGGGTGGAGCCGAGCAGTCTGCCTGGGGATTCTCAAGCAGGAAGGAAAACGTGTCGGCGAACCATTGTAAAAACTTATACATGTTTTGAATTGTATGTATGGAGAAAATTCGACGCGAGCGCACCCCTAATGGTGGTCGGCGGAGGTGTATGATGATCGAAGAAATTTCAATTAAAAATAATACTTAGCTTTATTGACGGCGGTGGGTGTAGTCGACGTGTTGCGATGTTCGAGAGATGGCTTGACGTGTCGTTGGCAATGAAGTTGTCCGGTCCTCGAGCTTTTCGACCTGTCGTCATGACTGTGGTCGCGATTGTCGTAGCGCCGTTCTTCACGGCGATCATCATTGCGACGTAGTCTTGTGGTCGAGGTGGTCGGAGCTCGGCGGAGCTGCTCGGGACGTGGTCGACGTGGTCGCGGTCGACGTGGTCGGAGCTCGGCGGAGCTGCTCGGGATGTGGTCGACGTGGTCCGTGGTCGACGTGGTCGGAGCTCGGCGGAGCCGCTCGGGACGTGGTCGACGTGGTCTGTGGTCGACGTGGCTCGCTAGACGGCTCGGTCAGCTCACTTGAAGGCTCGTCGAGACTTGCCAGACAGCTCGGATGGTTTGCTTGATGGATCGGCGTGGTCGGACGGCCGCTTCCTTCTATATAGATGTATATACGTATATACAAGCTACATATGTTGTTGGCTTTTGCGTGGCTTCTCTAGATCATGCACGTCTTCTATTGATCGAGTCTTCACTCTTGAGGCTATCGGACACCAGGGCATCATGCATGTAGGCATGCAGTGTGGCTTGATTGGATCTTGTCGTGTAACGACCGCAAGTGCAGTCGGAGTCCTGACAAAATAATCATACGCACATGTAGATATCTAGACACGTATATCGTAGAATATTAATTTAAAGATTAAATAATTGACTTAGCTTATGTGAAGTCAAGGCATCGCCTGATCAGCGCTGATGGAGAATCTCTCCATGGACGCATGCGTACATGCACCAGCCAATCAAATATCTTGGACCAAATATCTTTGATGAATTAAATCTGACTTGCATATGTATGCGTGTGTACGCGTGCATGCAGCAGCTAGCCATCTGATGGATCATGAACGTGGTCGTGGTCGTGCTTGCTTGACGCGACGCCGATGCTTGTATGTCTTGATCGTCGGACTTTGATCTAGTTCGATGCTAGACCAAAACTCACGGAAGTGTGTCAGAGATGAACACAGAGTTGTAGTCGACTTGTTCCCAGTCGATGACGCATCAGCCGAAGCAAGTTGCCGCGAGGTCACGTCGTGTCGCCGCGGACGATGTTGATGAGAAAATCGCCATCTGATTCGCCGGAAGATCAGCACGCACAACCCCTAAAAGGGGCCCCTACCTGGCGCGCCACTGTCGACGAAATATGGTCGGCAGTCCACCGAGGGGGGTGCTCGTGGTGGTAGATTATCGGTAGGATGCGCGTAATCAGGAACCAGATGGTGACACAAGGCGCAGAGACAATGATTTAGACAGGTTCGGGCCGTCTGATCGACGTAATACCCTACGTCCTATGTCTTTGGTGTATTGTATTGATATGTATAGATTAACCTGTCCTCTGGGGGACCCCTGCCTCTCCTTATATACTCTGGAGGAGGAGGGTTACAAGTAAAGTATCCTATTTGGTACTATTTACAATATCTAGTACAACTTATAATCTTGCCATGTACGCCTTGATCTCACGGGCCGGGCCACCTCGGATGGTGCGGCCCATGTACCATCTTGTGGTACCGGGGGTATATCCCCCACATAAATGAAAGTTTATAATCTGTTCTCATAGTTTACATATTACTGTTTCGTCATGCCATGAATAGATGATTATTTTCGCTGTAATTCTGATCACATGTTTATATTCCGCTATTTAATTAAATTCTTCATACTCTGATAATATGATTATATTCCGCTATTATAATAATAAATATTGTACTCTTGATGTTGCATTAAAAGTGATTTAAGAAATGGTTTAATGATGATGTAAGCTTTATTATCTCATTTGTGATGCTGATGGCAAAAATGTGGATTTTCGGGTTCTTCCCTGGGGTGTGCCCGACGGAACCGAGTAATTTAGTGTTTCCCTCGAGTGTTTAGTGTCTAATGAAAGACAAATACTCATGTGAGGTATTAGATTAGACAGTTCTGCCACATGTACGCCCCCATCGAAACCCCATCTTGATTTTGCTTGCTTTTATTTATCCGACCAGAGATCGCCGTTGTTCGTGCAATTGATCAGTTGCGGGTTGATTAACATCTCAGGGCGAAAGAGAAGATGCGTGTCATCTTCCACTTGAGGGACCTGCTGAAGCAGGTCAAGGCAGGCCAATTGCGGGAGGCCTGTTACTACGTCCTTAGCTTCGCGCCCTTCGAGCAATCGAGCCACGAGGCGACACTCCTCACGCTGTTTCTGTAGGACCTTGGGGCCATCTTGGACTTCGCTGACAGCCACACCATGGCGGTGGGCATCCATTGCGACTAGTTCATAAGCCTCTACAATCACCGTGTGCTCGCCAAGTATCCCTGCTTCGCCACCCTCGTTGCCGATGTCCTCTTCCTGCGCTCAGATCGTGTCAGGTACCATCCCTCTGAATGCCACATCCATGTAATGTGATCCATCGATTGACATGTGCAGCACACTTAACTCCTAGTGTTATTACTCCTGTTGCAGGGCCTCCCCTGGACTGGAAACTCGTCATTAACAAGGCAGTGGAGTTGGTTGAGGCGATTGCTTACAAGACGCCCGAGCTCAAGGACAGGATGCATTACCCTCGCGTCCGGAACAACCTGGACAACGTGGTACCTGTTGGTTCACGGTACATATGTGTGCAGCACGCCGGTGCAAGCTTCTTCCAACATGTCGTCACTGGCACTTACCAGTAACTGAATTCCTGTGCATGCGATCTAATCTTGCTAGCTTTCGCCAAAGGCGTCAAACGAAGAATTCAGGCCAGAAACAATCAACTGACATTGCGCAGTTGTATCTTCAGCTGAAGAAGAGGTGCATCTTGCAATGAAGCTTTCACGCTGTTTCTACCCTTTCCACTGACAAACTTCACTATGTAAATGTTCCTTCTTCATTTTGTGCAGGCTGCCTTCTTCAAATCCTGGGGAAAATCGTCGTTTTTCAGGTACCATGATGCTATTCAACATCTCCAGCTAGTACCATGTTTTTCTACATCATACATATGGTTTGAGGAACGTGATTCATACACTTTTATTGGTTAATTTTTTCAACGCAAGAAATCTCATTCCCATTATGACATAACGGAAATACAGCATTCAGCATTACAGATAGACAGTTCCAAGAATAGAACCTACGAATATCAATATATTTTATAGTCAATTAAGGTTTAATATGCAAATTTAAGGTGTGGGCGTCATGTTTTAATTTTACGGTTCAACTCACAGTAAACGTGGATGAAATCCATGTCTCTAGAGGCGGACTCGCAAGGTATAGGTAAAGATTAATGATCTTTATTAGTAGATGATTAGCATAATTTAAGGAATATTAATATATTTAAAAGTCAGTTTAGGTTTAATGTGAAAATTTAAGGTGTGAACGTGATGTTTTAAATTTACGGTTCAATTTTCAACGTAGTAGCACGTACATATTAGGTCCGAACGAAGTAGGAGAACATATCCTTCTTCTTTTTTAAAAAAAATAGGCAATCAATTCTGCTAAAATTTTGAAGATAACCTTTTTTTTCAGCAGAAATTTTGAAGATCACCTTTATCTGCTAGTTTTTTTAAAGGAAATGCCAGGTAATGCACTCATTGGTACATCTTTATTTTCTGGTCATCTAACAAAATATATTTAGTCGATTTATACCTTAGCTTTCTGATAACTTTCTGAGACGGATCTCTAAGGTAGTCGGCTATTTCGACTTTCCAATCATCACTTGAAGTTTCACTACTCAATGCTTCTTGAAACACTCGATATCATGATGCACTTTGAGCTAGACGGTTAGCTTCTTGGTTTTGTGCTCTCAAAATATGTTGGAAAGAGATATGAAGAAATCCCTTGAGTAACTTTTGGCACTCATCATAATATCCTTTCAAAGTCTCTTCTTTGCATTCATATAGGCCGATCAATTGATTAATAATTAACTGTGAATCTCCAAATACTTCAATTGCTTCGGCCTTTACTTCATGAAGAAGTTGAAGTCCTTTAAGAATAGCTTCATACTCCACTTGATTGTTAGTAACCATTGGCTCAGTTGGAAAAATAAACTCAAAACTTGCCCCCCACCGAGGCGAAATAACAATAATACCGATGCCACCACCCTGCTTGCATGATGACCCATCAAAGAACAGCGTCCAAGGCATCGGCTCTACATAACTAATGCTTGGCTTGTGATGCTGGGTGATAAAATCAGCTATTACTTGTCCTTTGACTGCTTTAGCCGATTCGTACTTCAAGTCGAATTCCGATAACGCAAGAATCCACTTTCACACTCTTCCATTCAGTATTGGCATTGATAACATGTGCTTAACCACATAAGCCTTGGAAACAATTGTACACTCGGCCGATAATAAGTAGTGTCGCAATTTAGTGTAAGAGAAATATAAACACAAGCATAATTTTTCGGTGGGAGAATATCTCGTTTCTGGATCCAGTAGTCTTCTACTCAGATAAAAAATAACTCTCTCTTTTTCTTCAAATTCTTGCATCAGGGCTGATCCAATTGTCTTGTCATCGGCCAATATGTACAACTTAAATGGCTTACCTTGCTAAGGAGGGACCAGCATAGGTGGACACTTCATATATTCTTTTATTTCTTCGAACGCCCTTTGTTGTATGTCACCCCACTTGAATTCTTGATCATTTTTCAACTTCAACAAGGAAGAAAACGGCAGGATCCTTTCTGACAAATTTGAAATGAATCTTCTGATGAAATTAATCTTACCAAGCAGAGATTGCAACTATGTTTTGGTAGTCGGGGGAACTGTTTCATCAATTGCCTTCACGCTTTTCTGACCAACTTCGATTCCTCTCTCGTGGACCATGAATCCTAAAAATTGTCCGGCTGATACTCCAAAAGCACACTTATTAGCATTCATCTTCAAACCATGCTTCCTCATGCATTTCAGAGTCTCACGCAAGTCAGCCAGGTGTTCTTTGTACCCTTTGGATTTTATCATCACATCATCGATGTAGATCTCAACAATCCTGCTGATCAACTTATGAAAAATGTAATTTATCGCTCTTTGATAAGTTGCACCGACATTCTTCAGACCAAAGGTCATCACAACCCACTCGAATAGACCGATTGCATCGGGGCACCTGAAAGCCGTCTTTGCTATATCTTCTTCAGCCATGAAAATTTGATTGTATCCTGCATTACCGTCCATGAAGCTAATAACCTTGTGCCCGGCTGCTGCATCTACTAACATATCAGCTATCGGCATCGGATAACCGTCCATAGGTGTGGCTTTGTTCAGATCCCTGAAATCAATGCAAACTCTCAATTTTCCATTCTTCTTATATACAGGGACAACATTCGATATCCACTCTACATATCGGCACGGTCGGATAAATTTTGCTTCCAATAACCTTTCAGTCTCCTTTTTGATATCATCAATCACGTTCGGGTTGAATCTCCTCAGAGCTTGTTTAAACGGCTGATATCCAGGTTTGATTGGCAACCGATGTTCAACAATTGGCCGGTCTAAACCAGGCATTTCATAATATTCCCAAGCAAAGCAGTCTTTAAATTCTTTTAATAAATCAATTAATTCCCGCTTATACTCCAGATCTAACTTAGCACTTATGTACGTCAGCCTAGGTCTATCTACAGGACCAATATCTACTTCTTCTAATTCATCGGCCGACGTGAAACCATGTCCTAGTTTGCCATCTGTACCATCTATTAGATTATCCATTAATACAAATTTTCAAAGCCGACTGCTTAGATCGGCTGTTGGCTTTCACCATTGACTCTAAATTCTTATGGCAATAGGAAAGTCATTTGGATATTAGCCGATGGTTGCTTCCTATCGGCTATTTACTTGGTACGTCACACTTGAGTTTTATCGGATGCCTGAGCATGTTTCATCTTTTTATTCCTTAGGCGTTGCACCCTTCTCTTCTGGCTTCTTGTTAAACCTCCTGGGCACCACTGGCCTTCCTGCCACATATATCTTCTTTCAGTGCTTTCCTCTTCATGATCAGCCCAGTCCTAATCAACGACTCTTTTTACAAGCCAATCATGAACACTTTTATTTTTTAAGCGCTGATCCATGTTATTATGATGATATGTATCTTGAGCATGGATAGACTGGCGGTTGGTTTGAGACTGCCTACACTCCCGATATTGATTGCTGCATTCTGGATAGTCATGTCTGGTAGGCAACTTCAAACCTTCATTCTAGCAATATCTGAAGAAAGGGCAATTCCAATGTAATTCGGCTTGTTTACTTTCATACTTCTCTTCTTTCAGTTGATGCTGGTACGCTTGATCTTTCAACCCTCCTTCTGCCATTGCCATTTATTCAATAGAATCCGAGATGTGACCCACGGCTTCGTCGTCTCTGCTTTTGACGTGACAGAAAGAGACTAAGGCCAAAACAACCAAAACAGTTCCTGACGCTGATATAAGCGCCAACCACCACCACCAGCGACCACCATATCGCGTCACAAGATGAAAACGGCCATAGAAAAAACAGGATAAAAGCCAAACCGACAATAACGACTCCTACGGAACCAAACAGACCTACAGAAAACCAAAAGCTGACTACGCTTTCTAAGTTTGAGCTAGGGGACCAGCTTCCCTCCTGCTACTCAAGCCGAATCAATCATTAACTTTTGTTGGTTAATGATTGAGATTTGCAACAACAGGCTCACAGCATTGAACAAATGGGAGGTGCTGATAGCATTACTGGGTACGTACTTCTAGTTTGTCACTGCATTAGTTTTGTTTTCCAGCTTACTTGTCCATGATGTCCTAAACAGAGTATATTTCTCCATATCTGGTTTTGAGCGAGCCCTGTTCATTTTATCTTATGTTGTTTCTATTCTGTTGCATTTCTTGTGCTGAACTATATGGTATGATGTGGTAGCATAAAGACCCATGCATTTTATGATCCAATTGGATATCCATGCTTGCATGCTAATATAATTAGAACAGTCCAATTATGTTACGGCGTTCCATCATTTTCAAAACAACTTGAACTTCATCAATGTGTGATGACTGGAGAACTTGCATGATCTTTAGTGAAAAGCTTAAAATACCCATGCATGTTTTGGAACTTTCCATGCTTGCAAGCTAGCATAACTAGAATTTCCCCAGTTGTTTCATCAAGTGCCATTACTTTTCAAAGCACTTGAATTTTGTACATGCATGATGACTGGAAAATCACATTATCATCAGACAAAGCTTTGCAATCTGGTAGAGATCCAGTGCTCAAGCAAGGCCGCCCCACTGGATCTTTGTCCAAAGAAGGTACTATCAAGTTTTCTCAAGACAAAATAAGCTGCAGATATGGATCACTGATATGATATTGTTGGTTCTCTGCAGTTTTCCCACTCAAGGCTTTGGTAACGCGTGGATCCATGGTGCTCAGCCCCCAAAGCAACCAAGGACATGGATCTGAACATTCATCCAAGCTAGGTAACTCGCAATTTTCTTTCTGCAGTTCGAAACTTCACATTAAGCTGCATCTTCTTACTGCCAAGCTTGTCGTTTACTTGCAGATACATCTCAAATTTCTGCTACTGTGGCCACTCCAGAAATTGATTCAGGCAAGTTATTTGCCATGGCTTCTCCAGAAATGAACTCTAGCAAGTTAATGTAACAGTTTTGATTGATTCAAATGTGTCCAAAACCCCAGTTTACTCTTTGAAATTGTTCATCGTTGATTAAATTTGGCAAACCTGCCAATGTTGTCATATAGTTATTTTTTGTCACAAGATTTATTTGTTTTGGTGCAGCTATGAAGCGCTCAAGTTATCAAGAGTCCCATAAAGATACCTCTGATCCAAATGTTTCAAAGAGGCCACGAGTAACTGGGACTGGGAGTTTTGTTGAAGTAAGTCCTTCTGTATACTGATGATTTGTGGTGTGTTGATATTAACATTACACATGCAAAAGTGTGACATGCAGCTAGGTTCCATGTTTTATGTATATTTGAGCAGCACAAAGATACAACCCTGAAAAACTTGTTTAATCCATCTTGCCTTAAGATGTATCATTCGTATTCAGCAATTGTACAAATTATCATTTTCAGCATAAATGTATTGTTGATGCTGTGCTTCTGTGCTCTACCTACGAGTGACAAGCTCCTTTGTTTACATGTAATCTGGACTAGATTAAATGATCTGTTATCCAGATAGGTATGCTAACAAATTCCATGATGTCTTCATTATGACTGATAAAATTATTGTTAGATAAATAATTTCAATTTTAACAAAATATGCTTTTGATTTTGCATATGGTTGGAGAGCTCTTGTAGTTACTCCTTTTTTGAGTTCCCCTTTTGCCAAATTATGAATTTGATTTACTCTCCAGATTCATCCCCAAACTTTTAAGGGGTTTGTGGGGGTATGACCCCCGGTATCCACAAGACAAGACATGGGCCGCACCCCTAGAGATGGCCCAGCCCACGAGATCAAGGCGTGCACGGCACTGGTCGACGTGCACCGCAAGATATTGTATAGTACCAAATATGATACTTTCCTTGTAACCCTACTCCTCCAGAGTATATAAGGAGAGGCAGGAGTCCCTGAAAGCTCTAGTTTGGTTTTGATGAATTGATGAAACCCTAAATGATAACCTAGTTTATCAAGTGATCATGAGATAGGTAGCACATTTCAAGTGGTGAAACAAATGAAGATCATGACATGATGATGGCGATGCCATGGTGATGATCAAGTGCTTGGAATTGAAAAGAAGAAAGAGAAAAACAAAAGGCTTAAGGCAAAGGTATAAATGGTAGGAGCCATTTTATTTTGGTGATCAAGACACTTAGTGAGTGTGATCACATTTAGGATCGATAGCCGTACTATTAAGAGGGGTGAAACTCATATCGGAATGCGGTTATCAAAGTACCACTAGATGCTCTAACTCATTGCATATGCATTTAGGATCTAGTGGAGTGCTAACACCCTTGAAAATATTTGTGAAAATATGCTAACACATGTGCACAAGGTGATATACTTGGTGGTTGGCACATTTGAGCAAGGGTTAGGAACTTCACCGGCGGAGTGTTCTCCCGTAGAGTGTGGACAGTCCGACGGTGCTATGGGTGCTCTAGACAGAAAAGACAGAAGTCACTGTAAGTGACCGAACGCTGGCCTCGGTTGGACCGGCGCGTCCGGTCAGTAGAAGCTGCAAAGACGCTGGCGTCGGTCTCTAACCGGATGCTGGGTCACTTAGTGACCGAACGCTGGAGGGGTGCGTCCGGTCCTGCTGATGTGGCAGCGCACAGAAGAGTCACCGTGTGACCGGACGCTGGGTGAGTCCGGTCGTAAAAAGTCGTCTCTGGATGCTTACTGGAAACGACCGAACGCTGGGGTTCAGCGTCCGGTCACTTTGAGCTGCTGCGTCCGGTCGTCACTTGACCGTTGAGATCGGGCGATCAACATTTGAAGAGGGGACACGTGGCACGCATCACATGACCGTACGCTGAGGTCCAGCGTCCGGTCAATCTGACCGGCGTGTTCGGTCGGCCCGTGTTGTGCCCAGTGAAGGGGTACAACGGCTCTATTTTATGGGGGCTTCTATTTAAGCCCCATGGCCAGCTCAAGCTCACTCTCTTGGCCATTTGCATTGACATAGCAACCTTGTGAGCTTAGCAAAAGCTCTCCCACTCATCTCCATCATTGATTTATCATCTTTGTGAGATTGTGAGAGAATCCAAGTGCATTGCTTGAGTGTTTGCATCTAGAGGCACTCGGTGTTCGTATTTCGCTGTGAGATTCGCTTATTACTCTTGGTGGTTACCGCCACCTAGACGGCTTGGAGCAGCGAGGATCGTCGAGCGGAGGGAGGTGATTGTCTCCGGCTCCGATCGTGGTGATTGTGAGGGGTTCTTGACCTTTCCCTGGTGGAGAGCCAAAAGGTACTCTAGTAGATTGCTCGTGGCTTGTGTGATCCTCATCTTGTATTGGTTGTGCAGCACCCTATTGAGGGTTTGGCGTGTGATGCTAATTAGCGCGTGAACCTCCAAGTGAGTGAATCGCCACAACGAGGACTAGCTTACCGGCAAGCAAGTGAACCTCGATAAAAAATCATTGTGTTCATCATTTGATTCCGAGGTGATTGGTTTTCATTGGTATTCATTCTTGTGATTGATTGGCTCCTTACTCGACATGGCGGTATAAATAAATTGCTCACTCTCTTTACATTACCGTAAACTAGTTGCCAAGCTCTTTAGTGTAGCTAGTTGTAAGAGCTTGTTAGTTTGGTTAGTGTGGCTCTTTAGTTAGCCTTTGAGAGCACACTAACTTAGTGTAGTGAAATAGCTATTGTGTGGATAGAAACTATATAAACTAGAATTGTGGTAGGTGGCTTGCAATTTTAGTAGGCTAGCGCAACACTTGCTTCACCTCAAAATTGTCTAACCGGTTTGTTAAGTGTTATTGTAGAAATTTTTAATAGGCTATTCACCCCCCCTCTAGCCATTAGGACCTTTTAGTCCCCTAGTCGACAGCTACCTCATATTCAATACAATACACCAAAGACACAGAACGTAGGGTATTACGTCGATCAGACGGCCCGAACCTGTCTAAATCGCTGTATCTGCGCCTTGTGTCACCATCCGGTTCCTGATTACGCGCACCCCCACCGACAAATCTACCATCGCGGGATACCTCTTGGTGGACTGCCGAGCATCTTTTGTCGACAGTTGGTGCGTCAAGTAGGGGCTATGCGTGCTGATCCATGGCGAACCAGATGGGACCTCAAGAACAACACCATTCGTGGCAACCTGACTTTCCGAGGCGGCGTGCTTCAACAGCCTGACAGGCTCGATATCCCTCGGCTCGATCACTCCATCTACAGCGGTGACGGGCGACATCTCAGCTCTCCAGATCCAATCACGGGACAACAAACTACACGATGGTGTGACTCTCGTCCACCGATCGGCCTCACTAGGTTTCGACGAACACGCTCTGCTGCATCCGCATGGGAATACGGGAATCCTACTCCGATCCGATCGGACATGCATAGGAGTCCTGCACTAGTTCGATACGTGCATAATGATTGGTGATTACCATCGGGGCCTGGCTGCCTAAAAAATAATCCTAGTCAAGCATACGTCTAATCTACTCTACAGCACCATGAAGATCTGGCCAGGGCATTGTTCCGTCATGAGCAAACAAGAAGCGTGTACGGGGGCCATGCAAGTTATTTAATCAAGGCGAAATTTGCACGTCCGTGCATGCATGACATGCTATACGCCCGAATTTGGCCCAAGCGCCCAGACGACAAGATCCCATCGGTCAGCAACCAAATCAACAAGGATCGCCATGCATGTACGCGGGAGGAAGACCTCGGACTACGCCTCGCCTTAGTCAGACACGGGCTTCGCCTCCCTGCGCGGCTTAACTCCATCAGGCTCTGACTACGCTCGTCCGACTACAACTCCGACTCCACGCACACATTCAACTATGTCGAGCCGCCAGCAAGTCGCTAAGCGAGCTGCCCGCGTCGTCGACTAGTAACATAAGGACGACGTCGCCCGGACTACTTGTCGCGTCGCAATGAAGATCGCCGCGAAGAACGGCACCCTGACAACCACGACCACCACCATGATGACAGTTCGGAAAGCTCGAGGGCCGAGCAATTTCGTACACGCCGACCAGATAACACCATACGCCACTGACCAGACGTTCTGTCAAAAGCTAAGTCACGCTTTAATATTTTTCTAAATACTCTCCAATCTTCGTATATCGCCATAATGTTTCTCCGAGCTGTTTTCTCCATGTTTGCTCTCCAAACGATTTTCTAAACCCCCGAACAGTCATGTTGACGCTCGGATGTCCCTAGAGACGGCCCTGTCTCCGGCTCCTCCCTACATGTGCACAAGCATCTGCCCTCTGCGTTATGGGTGGTCGACAGCGGCTCCTTAGCGACGCTTTGTTCTTCCTACACACACACGGGCTCCGTGCTCCACGTTATGGTTAACGGTCTAGCTAGGGCTGGAGACTCAGCTACACACTAACTAGTCGGGCGGTTTATATTAAATATAAATACATCTTCACACCAACTGATCGCCGAGCTACATACGCTATTTCATCGCCATTGCTGATTTTTCTCCGGAGTTCATATATTTTTACATCATGTACTACCCGTTCTACATATTTGTATTGTAGGATCATCGTCCAGGTGATCGGAGCACCTGGTGCTCGGACTTCTCCACCGATCAACTGGTCGGACTGCTAGGTTCATGGACTTCGTCGCCGACCAATTGATCGGACTGTTCGCCGATCGCTTCTACTCAATGCTCACTTCGCCGCCGACCAGTTGACCAGACTGTTCATCGCTCGTGCTTCATCGCCAGCTACGCCAGGGGCTCCTCGGTGCTCAGACATCGCCAGATACGCCGGGGACTCCTCGGTGCTCGGACATCGCCAGCTACGTCGGGGACTACTTCGGTGCTCAGATTCTTCATGCTCGGGGACTAAGTGGGCACACTTCACCCCACTTCACCTTGCGGACATCGCCAGCTACGCCGGGGACTCCTCGGTGCTCGGACATCGTCAGCTACGTAGGGGACTCCTTGGTGCTCGGATCTTGCTACGCCTCATCGGTGTGCTATCAAGCTGCTCCATGCTGTTCGGATCAGGGTGCTGATCTTGGGCAGCACGTTTGGGGTCTTGATACGCACATGTCAGACGACGTCGGCAAGCTTTCAGACTTCTTTTTTTTTACCCTGCTACAAGATTCATTCTTCATCTTCCAGCAGGCTCGAGGACTACGTGGGCACACTTCACCTTGCAGTGAATGTGCGCTTTTCAATTCAGGGCTCCGTCCGTGGACTGGTTGCCTGCTCGGCCGGTCTTCTGCCTTTCTTCTACTTTCTGACCCTGGCACCACGTGCCTACGTCACCTACTGTCAGGCCTGGGGACTAGCTGTGGGGGTATGGCCCCCGGTATCCATAAGACAAGACATGGGCCGCACCCTCAGAGGTGGCCCAGTCCACAAGATCAAGGCATTAACGGCACTGATCGATGTGCACCGCAAGATATTGTATAGTAACAAATATGATACTTTTTTTGTGACCCTACCC